AGTAATGCATAGAACTAATGCTTGCATTATTTTTTCTAATACCTCCTACCAAACGACCCCTAAGTTTGCCCAATTCCAATGCAGTTTGAAAATCTCCTTACTGTAATTTACATTACGGGCTTTATCAAATAAATAAACGGACAATGTAATTTTTTTAAGAGGTCAACCCAAGCTTAACGAAGCATGTCATTTAAGAAATCACTTTGATTTGCTTGTTTGGCATTCTGATGTTTTCTCTTTTCATGGACGATGATGACGTTGTTAGTTTAGATTTGTTAGCTCTTCTGGGCTAATTAGATTGACCTGGAAATTCACAAGTGACAAATACGTCTGTTGTTGTATCTACTGGTCAAAATTCGGGGGCACAATGTTGTTTACCTTGAATATAAGCTGCTTACCATTTTCTACTCAATGCTCTCCTTTCTATTGCTCTTTTCTGTTTATGTTTCTGGGGGTCAGTTAATATTACATTTGGAACTTTTTACTGCAGGTCATGTGCTTGGCGGACCTTGAAAATGATTATATCAACCCTTATGATTCAGCATCCGAGATTAACAGACTTGTGGTTCCGGAGTTTGTTCTACAAGGAGCACTATGCTTCGTACATCTTGTGATGGGGCATTGGTTTATGTGTCTGATCTGTCTCCCATACTTATATTATGATGTCAAAGTGTAAGTCTTTTAAATGAAGTATGTAGCACTGCTAACCGCTTCCTGCTGTTTCTTGGCATTGGCATCACAAAATGCTCCGACAACTGATGTTAACTTTTTGATTAGATATACTGATCGGCGCCACTTGCTAGATGTAACTGAGATTTTCAATCAGCTACCATGGGAGAAGAAGATTCGATTGTATAAGCTTGGATACCTTGGGATACTCCTTGTCTTTTCTATAATCAGGTGTGTGTCAGTGACGAGCTATTCCTGTTTCTTATTATTGGTTTTAGTACAAGCTGTTCCACCTTTTTAGGAACTTGTAACCTAATTACTTCATCTGGTTGTCTAATGCTGTATGTGATTTTAGTATGGTCTGGAGCATCGTGGCTGAATGAAGAATGAGGAATTGCTGCTCTCATCAAGGTTCTCTAGTTCCTCTATCTGTGATATGGCTCTGTAAATTTGCACAAGAAAAAAGATGGAGGACATTAACTTGGTGTGTTTCCTTCAACTTGTCCAGCATTCTATTTTACTCTTCATATAACCAGTATTGGCTCTCACAAGAGCTATTGCTCTTCAAGCTCTCTTAATTTCTTTTTAATTCTTTGTAGATGTAAATATTTCCCTATATCTTCAACAAGCAGTTTCTACATGAGGTCATTCTAAATTTAACCTTTTACTGTGTAAAGATGGAGTATAGTTATCTCTTTAAAGCAGATGCACTTTCACTTTTTCAAACTCTCATTTACTCTTGCGAATATCAAAAACAATGTTAGCTCCGCCTGTCCCTTCAACTACCTTCTTTTTTTGTTTTGCTTGGGGTAAAGTTTCCAGCTATTACTAACCATGCTATAGATGTTATTAAATCATATAATGACGTTTGCAGATGCTATCATATGTGAAAATCTAGATGCTATTTGCAGATGCCTATTTTCTTGAACTCATGATGGGTGAGCTTTAAGTTATGGTCTAGATTATTGTATTTGTTTTCTGTATCAAACTTTCATGTATATTATTATGCAGCAAGCGGTGGAGCACTTTTCCAAATAAATTACTCACTTGCTGAACACTTCTCCCAATAAATTACTTATTTACATGCGAAAGCAAGTATACCTAAATCTGTCTGTTTCAAATGACTGATTCTAGTAACTAACTTTTACTTGATCCTTGAACTGCCTGTTCAAATTGTGCACAGTTTCTGTGAGAATATCTTTGGAGATAAAGTTCCTTGGACAGTTTGGTTTTTATTTGGTCGTGTTTGATCACATACTATGGATAGTGTAGGACCAAAAAAGGTTTCCTTATTGGTTTAAATAATCGATTCTCAGGAAAGCTAGTTAGCCTACGCCATTAGGCCTTTGATTTGTGGTAAATCTGGCATTTGCTGTAAGCATGACCTGGTTTACGGTTATGTTATAAACTACTGGCTCCTAATACTCCAAAAAGAAAAAAAAGGGTTATCCTTCGTTATCAAAAAAAAAAAAAGGTTATCCTTCGTCCGCATATATTCTACCAGGTGCAACAAAGATCTAGTGACTGTAAAATTCTAATGTGAAACATCTGATGCTAATTCTCTAATGGGAATAAAGAAAGAGAAAAGAGGAAAGAACACAAACTAGAAAAATACAAGTTGGAAAGATGAGTTGCAGATAAGGGATGAATTTGCATTTTGTGCAAAGCAAGAACATAAAAGGCTTTGCTATGCATGCTCATTTTCGCTATGTTTACCCCCACAAATTACACTTTATCCGGGAAAAAATATACCCAACCAAACTTCTTTTATAGGCAAAAGAAATTTTGTTATTTTATCTCAGATGTCTCAACACTCCAATCATAACATTCAATGACTTATTGGTGGATCACTTAGAACCCACCAGAAGAAATATGGGAGAAAAACAGATCTGTTTATTTAAGCCTTGAACTGTTAACGAGGTGAAGATGTATTACAATTTTCAATTTCTGGGAGCTACAGCACCTTTTGCCAATTCTGATTTCTGGGAACTACAATATTGAAGGACCTAAACATCTGTGGCATTAACTTGTGGAATTATTTTCTAAATATTTTCTTCTCCTTTCTCTCAGGCCTACAATTTGATGAATTTATGAAAATGAGATACTTTGGGCACTTGTATGTTGGAGCTGGCTTTTGTTGGTTTTCTCAGTAATGATGCCAATTTTGCTGAGAATGATGCTGATTGATGGGCTGGAGAATTATTCCAATTTAAGGAAAGGATTTTGGTTGTCCTCAACTTGGGAAAACATATTGACGTTGATTATTAAGATATTATTATCGATGCTATTTATCTTTATTTTTTAAATTTTTTTAATAATGAAGTGCTTATCTAATTACTTAAGATATAAGCATGATCAAATTAGTCATTTCAATTACTTCCTCGTAGAAAAGAATAGTCTTTTCAGTTAATTAGAAATAGAGTTCAGGTTGTCACTTGTAAGTTCTATCATGGACATGAATAATATTTGATAAATTGATATCTTCGGATCCCTTTCTGTCCATCCTTTCTCCCTTCTTCCTTTTTATTCTTCTCTTCTCTCGCCAAGACTTACAAATAGAAAAAGATTACCTAATTTTTGTCGTGCCTCTGCTGATACTGTCCGCAAATGTTAAACAAGCTCAAGTGATATAAGCTTTGATAGAACTTGGACTTCATATCATTTTGGCTTGGTACTTTAAATGAACTCCACTGTGAACTCAAGTTTCAACTTGAGCTTATGATACATTCTTGTAAAACATTTTAATTGTTTATACAAGTATCCATTATAGCAGTAATATTATAGGCATAGAGCCATTATAACAGAATTTGAGATGCAAGATTTCACTGAAACTACCCAAAAAGAGTCCCAATGTGGGTGAAACTACGACTCTTCAACTTTTAATCAAAACGTGTTATATTAAAGCATTCAAAGTTCCCTAGAACTAATAATCTGCAACTACACAACAATAATACATGCTCTTGAGCTGAAAGACAAGATTCTAGATTCTATCCTAACACGAGTTATAGCCGATCAGACAAGTTATACTATTATGGTACTGCGTGTGAAGAGCTTCAGAATCTGGGAATGAATTCATGTCGACTTAGACTACTCTCCCTGCAATGATATGTTAATATCTGTTGCAGACTTTCTTGAGTCTTGAACAGTTGGCATAGTGGTCCAGTGATTTGTTTGAATGGTGGAGGAAGAAATAATATTTTGATTTCCAGCTCCGGGAATGTTTACAGTGAGTGCATTGGAACTTCTGGGCTCCATATTAGAACTATGGGGCGCAGCAGGAGAGACCGTTGCATAAGGTATTGCTTTGGGTTCTGCTTTCTGTTTCTTTGGCTTGGCCTCTTGGTAGTTGCTTGGTAGAAAACTGCCCACTACAACCTGATATATTGAAAGAGCAAAATTTGAGCATAAGATTGACCACCCTCAGTTATTAGGATTCTTGCAATAGTACATAAATAGGTTACCTGGACAGGACTAGCAGCTATTAACAGTCCTGCAAGTGTACCTCCGACAACACGACCATCAGGACTTGCCAAAGAAATGCTCATCCCTCCGGTTCTGCTAGTACGAGAACCCCCAAACTCTGTTGGAGTAAAGGATCCAGACAGAGAAAGGATTTCAAATCGACCCTACACAACAATATTACAAAAGGGATTGATTATACTCATTAACGGGCACCAAGCAGGAATGAAGCTTTCTTAATGCAATAAATATGCCTCAATTCCATATCTACTGAAATTTTGCCATCATACCTAATGAGACACAAAGGACATTTGTAGGAAAAGAAAAGAAAATTTTGAACCCTGCCTTGTCAAACATGCATCCATCTCTAGTCCGATAAGTTCTACTGAAATTGCTATACATCTACGATCAAACTGTGAGGCAACTTCAGCACTACCATGCTTGTGAGTAAACTATGTAATGAGTGACCCTCAGTTCATATCTTTAAGTTCAATTATTGACAAGGTTCAAAGAAAGGGTGAGCCATTGATAAAGAAAAATAATAACCACCATGATGTGATGCAAAACAAAGAGCTATTGAATGTTGAGCACTCAAATGACCAACCTCATAAGTCAAAGTTCCCCCCGAAGTATTTGGCTGCCGTAGAGTAACATTTGATATCAAACCAACAGCAGAAATAATGCAAATAGCTCGAGGTCCT